TTAAGCCTGCTGGTTCTCTCTGTGATGTTGTCCCTCCCAGGCTGTTTAAAGAGGTTTTCCCCTGCATAGGTCAGTCTGTTCTGGCTATCATAAACAGCAATCTGTCCTCTGGTGTTGTTCCGCCAGGTTTTAAACATGCAGTGGTGCAGCCTCTACTTAAAAAACCAGGCCTTGATTGCAGTGTGCTGGCCAATTTTAGGCCAATCTCCAAACTTCCCTTCATTTAAAAAATCTTGGAGAAAGTTGTTAATGTTCAGCTGAAGTCCTTTCTGGATGAGCATGGTGTCTTGGAGGTCTTCCAGTCTGGTTTTAAAACTCGGCACAGCACAGAGTCTGCTTTAATAAGAGTTTTTAATGACATCCTCCAGGCAAATGACTCTGGTGATTATGTTTTTCTTGTTCTGTTAGATCTAACTGCAGCCTTCGACACAGTGGACCACAACGCTCTGGTGGCTCGGCTAAGCTACCTTATAGGTATCCGTGGTACTGCACTAGAGTGGTTCAAGTCTTATTTGACCGACAGAACAATGAGTGTGAGCCTTGGAGATACAAAGTCCAGCTCTGCTCCACTGCCGTATGGGGTTCCACAAGGGTCGATTTTAGGGCCCCTGCTCTTTTCTTTGTATTTGTTGCCCCTGGGATCCATCTTAAGAAAGCATGGCATTTCTTTTCATTGTTACGCTGATGACAGTCAGATATATGTGCCACTTAACAAGAAAAATGCTTTCTCCCTCACTCCACTTCTGGCATGTCTTGAAGACATCAAAGCCTGGATGGCTTTGAATTTCTTAAATTTCAATGGAAAAAAAAACAGAAGTGATGGTCTTCGGTCTCAGTGGCCCTTGTGAAACCCCTCCTGTAGACTTGGGTATTTTAGCAGATTATTTAAAGCCAACCGTCTCAAATTTGGGTTTTAAGATGGACAGTGATTTAAAATTTGATAGGCAAATTAGCTCGGTAGTGAAATCCAGTTTTTATCATATTAGGCAGCTGGCGAAGGCAAAGCCTTTTCTTTCACGTAAGCACTTTGAAACAGTATTCCATGCCTTTGTTACATCTAGCCTGGATTTTATTTGTTTTTAAATCTTTAAATGGTCTGGCTCCATCTTACCTCTCTGAGCTTCTCCACCCCTACACCCATGCTCGGTGCCTCAGGTCAGCTGATCAGCTGCTCCTGGAGGTACCGATGTCCAAATGGAAGCTCAGAGGGGATAGATCTTTTTCTGTTGCAGCCCTAAATTTGTGGAACGAGCTACCCCTCCAAATTAGACTTACACTGTCCATTTTTAAAAGTCGTCTTAAAACCCATTTTTATTCATTGGCTTTTAACCCTGCATGAGACTCGGCTCCTGTTTTAGTGTTTTATGGTTTGTTTTTAGTTATTTGTATCTATGTTTTTAAATTAGTTTTTAAAAACATTGAAAATATATTTTACTTTTAATTCTGCTTTTATTTTATCCATTGTTTTAATTGTTTTTTGATTGTTTTTTATCTTGTTGTTTTGTCTAGTTATGTACAGCACTTTGTTCAGCTGTGGTTGTTTTAAAGTGCTTAACAAATAAAATAAAGTTGAGTTCCAGATGTTTCTGAGCTCCTCGAGTTCAATGTCCAAAGACTTCAAATCTGTTTTCTACTATTTGAGGATTATCAACATATTTGTCAAAATGCTTTTGCCATTTCGGTTGGATTGTTAATATTTTTCTCCAACTACAGTTTGCAGATGAGTGTTTTGACAACACAGAGAATATTTTCCTCTTTCTATAGTCCTCTTTCTACTGAAGTGAAGAAGATATTTTGGCTCACAGCTTATGTGATATTTTTATTTGTTGAAGTTCAAAACTAGATATCTTTATGGCCTTTTTGGTGCGTTGTAATAGGCTATGGAAAATAATTATCAACTTATAGAGTTTTTCAAAACAGGGTTACAAAGTGCTTTACAGATGTAGCTACTGCTCTAAAATATTGATATGATAGGATTATATGGGCTATTTTTAGTAGCCTATATTTTTTTACAAGAAAATCTACTGACCTCAGATGTTGTGAAAAACATATTTAAAGGTATGAAAATTAAATATAAGTACAAATATTTAGTGGAAATTATAATTAAACACAAAGTTTCCAGTTTTTCTTGGATTACCTATGAGACATACTAAAATATAGTTTTCAAAAATGGGTAGTTCTGTAAAGAAATAACAAAGGTTTCTGATTTAATATGCTTTTTAAACTCTTTGACTAGTTGACAGAAAATAACCTCAACTTTACCTCAAGAGATATTTATATTCCTTTGAGATTAAAGTGAATTAAAGTTGATATTAAACTTTTAGATATAACCTACCAGTGTAAGTGTTTTTCTAAAGTAAACAGCATTTTAAATCTCCATGGTAACCTGTGACGATGTAAAAACTTTAAATCATTACAAGTCAATGAAGATTGGTCATTTCTGAAGATTCAATCTGAAGATCGACACGAAAAACTTCTGTGGCTCACAAACTTTCACCTTTTGACAGCTCCATCGTAAATAAAACCTCCCCAGACGACTAAAGACTCCAACTCCGACAAACACCTCCGACAAACACCTGAACAGAGAGGACAACATCAACGACATGGAGACCGTAAGATTTCATGACAATATTATCATACAAACTTGTGTTATTGCCGAGACTTTGAGATTAATTGGTTTAAAAGCGATGCATTGAATGATGAAGCTAAAGTCCTGCCCACCACTGACCACTGTGGTCCTGTCCTGCATGTTTAACAGCAGAAAAGTTCATGTTACTGTGAGAAATCTCTGCGTTTAGTTTTTACAAAAGATGTAAATCTATTTAAAAACTTACAAAAACAGACAAAATTAAGTGAAAAGAAATTTCTTATCTACATCCTCTAAAATTAAGAGTTTGATAAAGTTTCACTCAAATATGTTTTCATGTTTCCATGAATCAAGTGTGTGTTTTCTACCACAAAATGTCAAACTTCATTATGGTTTTGACAGGGAAAGACTCACCTTAAGTGTAATCGAAACACTGTCCTTTTATAGAAATCCGTTTTTTTCAAACTGAAAACTGAGGATTTTCTTATTATTGAATCCTGAAAATACACAGTCTTTCCCCCAATGAAATAAAATGACTGAAATAGACAAACCAAAAATATCAATTCTTAACGGGGGGTTGCATTGATATTAATCTATTTCTATTGCACAACTAACCTGCTGATTAGAAACTAAATACAAATTCAAATGTATTGACTTGTATTGTATTGTTATCTCTGATAATACTGTAATAATAATAATAATAATAATAATGTATTGTTATCTCAGATAATACTGCACAGAGTTTTTCCTCTTTGTTTGATCCTCTGGTGTTCATGGATTGCCTTGATGTGGACAATTTTATTCACTGCTTTACCAATCAGTGTGTTAAAATTCTGGATCAGGTGGCCCCTGTAAAATCAAACATGTCATTACGGAAAAAATTGTGCCCCTGGACAAATGAAGATACCCTGAGCTTAAAGAGACTATGTCGTAAGACTGAGCGTCTGTGGAAATCCACTCACCTTGAGGTGCACAGATTTTATCTTAGGGATCTTGTGTCCTCTTATAATGAGATGGTGGGAAATGCCAGATCTGACTACTTCCGTCAACTGGTAACAGTAAATAAGAAAAACCCCAAAGTGTTGTTTGACACGATCAATTCTCTTGTATGTCCTGCTGCCCCAGTTACCCCTGTTTTTTGTGAAGCTGACAGCAATGCATTCTTGAGATTTTTCATTGACAAAATTAAGATGATCAAGGAGAAAACCCCCCCTTCTTTTTTGTGTGGAACCCCTGCTGTCATTGAGCCTGCTTCCAGCTTGTGGTCCTCATCTAGGCCTGTGGCTCTTGCTGATATCTCAGCACTGGTGACCAAGATGAAACCCTCCTCTTGCTCATCTGATACCCTTCCGTATAGGCTTTTTGTGAAAGTGCTTGATGTAATTGGCCCCTGGGTGACCAAAATGGTTAACCTTTCTCTTTCTACGGGTGTGTTTCCCAATAGCTTTAACCCTCCTGTTGTCCTCAAGTTAAGACCTACATCCCATGTCTCAAGGGTCACACTGTCCCAGTCCACACTGACTGGGGTCTTTTTGACCCAGTGAAAGGTCCTGTAGTCCTCACACAGAAAAAAAAATAAAAATAAAAATAAAATAATTATTAATTAATTATTTTATTAATTATTAATAATTAATAAAAAATAAACCTGCATCCCACGTCTCAGGGGTCACACTGACTGGGGCACTGACTGGGGTCTTTTTGACCCAGTGAAAAGTCCTGTAGTCCTCACACAGTAAAAAAAAAAAACCTGCATCCCAGGTCTCAGGGGTCACACTGTCCCCAGTGTGGAAATATATACACACGCGCACACACACGCGCACCCAAGCAGGCAGGCAGGCAGGCTAGACTCACACACATATAGTAATAATAATAATAATAATAATAATAATAAAATTAACAAAATAATAATAATAATAAAAAATAATAATAATGAGCAGACGGAGGGGAGGCAAGAGATGACCTGATATCTCTAGCCGATACCACAGTGTTGAGCAATGATGTTTTGATCAGAAGGACAAAGTTGAATTTTATGATGAATGACGAGATGTCCTTTGAGGATTGGTACAGCTACTATTATGACTTTTAGCCATAAAACAATGTTGTGTTGTAATCTATGGTGTGATGTGCACAAATAAAGTTATCCTCTGAAGCAAAATTGCCAGTTTTCGCATCTTTACTGAGTAAGCAAGAATATGTAAGCAAGCATAAGCTACAGCACGAATTCACATTTTAATAATAATAATAATAATAATAATAATAATAATAATGATAATAATAATAATAATAATAATAATGCATTTTTAGGCACATTTCAGCTGCAGTTCTTCCTAAATCTTTCTATAGAAGCATGCTCATACAAACACTTGAAGGAAAAAAACAAGTTCACAAACTCTTTACAACCCCCCCACATGTCTTACATCGGACGCTCCAGTTCGCTTGCAGTGGGCAAGAATCTACAGTTAATCACAAAGTTTACTCCATCAACCTCACAGATATGTGACAGCAGACTTATGAGTCCTGAGAAATGTAGACCCGATCCAAATGTGAAGCCCAATTTATTAAATGTTACTTTCAGCCTCTTCCCTTTGGCGTCTATAATCTCAAACAGGTATCCTGGACTGTCATCATCTACGCAGCAAATTAATGCTGCTGGGTTAACAGAGGGTCCTTCCTTGTTTTGTAGATACTCTATTATGCGATGGGGTTGGGAAACGTCACACCATCCACTTTTCAGCAAATCTAAAACGCTGCACATATCATCCACTACCCGTGTAAGAGAAAAGTACTGGGGATTGGAAGGTATTGTTGTGGGTCGGGGGAGCAAGTGTGTGTAGGTTTCACGGGCCAGCTTTCTCAACATGTCGATCGGACACGAAAAATCACCTTCCGCCAAGTCAGCACATACGTAGCATCTTTGACGGATAAGCAAAGGAAATGACAGCAGGCCACTTTCAGTCTTCGCTGTGAAAGAACAAACTCCCCCGGGCGTGTCACCTAAGCACGCCGAGACGACGATATCCCTGATGCGACGTCTCTCAGATGTATCCATGAAGGTCCTGACAGACTCTTCTGACACCGAGCCCCACCAGCGCTCACCCAGCCAACTGACAAACGATTTCCATGATTCCTGCAATTCGGTCCAGCGGCAGGTAGATGCGTAGCGGTTATTTGAGCCAAACTCCTCTTCAACTTCTTCATCGCAATCCCACAGTACGATACAGATCTCATCGTTTAAAAGTTCGGACTGATCCATAAAGCTGTTACGTGGTAAATCAGCTTCACTGGTATCTTCCGTGTCACCTGGAGTTCCGAGGCTATCACTGTAGGGATAATACTCCTCGTCTTCAACAATGTCACCTTCTACATGTCTTTCTGATAGCAGGCCACGACGATCATACTCTTCGTCGGGAGTATTCCTCCAGGCCTCATCTTCACTGAAGTGTCCTTCGACTTCTAGCTCTGCAGTGTCACTGTGGTAATCGTCATACTCATGGCAGCTCATGGAGGACTGTTAGAATCTCGGTAAAAGTCGGCATCGCGGTCACTCGTGCCCTTCAAGTCCCTCGGAGTTTGATGCTCATCAGAGTGGTTGAAAAGTTCACACTGATCCACAAAGCTGTTACGTGGTAAATCAGCTTCAGTGGTATCCTCCATGTCACCTGGAGTTACAAGGCTATCGCCATAGGGACGATGCTCCATATTTTCAACGATATAATTTTCTACATGTCTCCTTGATAGCAAGCCATAGCGGTCATACTCTTCATCAGGATTATTCTCCCAGGCCTCATCTTCACTGAAGTGTCCTTCAACATCTAGCTCTGCAGTGTCACTGCGGTAATCGTCATACTCATAGCGGCTCCGAGGACTGTCAGTATCTCGGTAAAAATCAACATCGTGGTCACTCGTGCCCGTCAAGTCCGTTTGATGCTCATCAGAGCGGCGGGACCCCTCCTCGCGCTCATCGCTCTCCTTTTCGCAGTAGTCGTCGTCATTCACAGACACTGTGTTATCTGGACGAATCGATGTCGGTGATGGTGAAGCAATCTCGGATTGAGATGTAGAATCAGCATAAGCAGAATTTGAGGTCAGACAATTGGATGTATCTGATGCAACTACGGCTACTTTGCAGTAGCCATGACAAGACTGCTTCAGAGGACTTGTGACACAAATGACGGTCTCATAATGGCTGCTGCTATTTGCTAAATAAATCCCCTGACCCTGAGACCCGAACACTGTTGCAACTGTACTGAAACCAACGGTCAGTGTAATATGTGAATACGTTGACACCCAAATAATCTGCTGTTGCTTGAATCTCAACCTCTGTCGCCCAACTTCCTAGAGAGCTGATTTTAGATGCGTCAATGTAGTCTGACACCGAAAGGTAACCCCTTCTCAGAATGTTGGCATATGCAGCTTCATTGCTTTGCAAGTGATTCACTACAGCTTCTCTTATTCATCCGTGATGGTGTTCGGTACCGCTCACAGCTACACTGACTGCCCTAAAGAAGCAATTCCCATCACTTTTAATCTTCACATTCTTACAAGGAGCTCCTAATTCACAAACATCCGTGAATTTGCTATACTGCTGTCTACAGTCTACCTTAAGCTTTCTGCACAGCTGTAATGCCACTGCCGCTCTAACGGGGTTAAAGTGTAGCTTTTTACCCATGTCGCCACTAACAACCTCAATGTCCGAGTCCTCGCTGTTCATTATGCTCTCATGTCTTTTCAGCAGTTCCTGTGACATTTTCATCTTTGGAAAGTCATAAGTATTTCCTCTTCTGATGCAGTCCTGCCAGGCTGCCTCTCTGCCTCTAAAACTAGTCATCCCGGTTGCGGACAGTTCAACTGACTGCATCCCACGTCTCATGGGGTCACACTGTCCCCCCAATGTGGAAATATATACACACACACACACACGCACACGCACACGCACACAGACACACACACACCCAAGCAGGCAGGCAGGCTAGACACATACATACACACACAATCTAGTAATAATAATAATAATAATAATAATAATAATAATAATGATATTAAAAAAATAATAATAATATAGTCATTTTAATTTTAGATAGATAGATAGATTGTGTGTGTGTGTGTGTGTGTGTGTGTGTGTGTGTGTGTGTGTGTGTGTGTGTGTGTGTGTGTGCGTGTGTTTTGGCGTTAATCAATCCGTCTCCAAATTCTCAGCAGCACACTCAGCGCAGTATGGGAGCGAACAACTTTTGCAGCTATATTTCTTACACCCGCTGCACACAGTGGACGTTTTGTTGTCCTTTGCCTGCGGGCAAAACTGACACCTCTTCCTCTTCCTCGCCCCGGTCGGGTCATCTGCTCCTGACGCCGCTCCGCTGGCTTCTGTTACTTCCGCGTCCTCGCCCT